AAATATATATATATTTGTGCTGATAAGCCTGAGTGGTTTGTTGACTGACCTTTGTATTTGTTCAAATAATTGTTCTGGGCAGGTTACAATATAAAAATGTTTGTCATAATCATGTCTTGTGATTATCTGACAGGAGTTTTACTTTTAAACTGTAAGTGTATTTAATTTAGTTAGGCTAGTTATGATAGTTTGGTTATGATGTAAGTACAATAAAAATTAAACCAAGGTTTAGATTAGAATAATTATCATTTTGATCTATACATTGGTAATGTCTGACTGGGCCTCGTGTCACATTATGTTTAACAAATTGAGCCCCGAGTTCAAAAAGGTTAAGAACCCCTGCATCTGCTACAGTCTGTCCTGCTGGAATGTGATGTGATTTGTGTCATATATATACATATATTCATAAAATGTATTAAAGTTTAACTAGTTAGTAATAGGGACAGCAACTCAAACTTCTTAACAAGAGTAAGATGCAGGTTATTATCAACATTTGTTGGGCTGAATTGGTACTATTACAACAAGACAAGGTTTTTTTGTGCATTCAAGTCTATTAATTTATAAATGATGGTATATTTACATGTAAAAATATGATAAAATGCCGTATTTCTCTCTAAAATTCATTGCACAGACGTTTCTAAAAACTCAACTTTATGAGTGTATTTTTTATTTTGAAGTGTAACTTCAGCATCTTCGAATATTTGCACAATTTTTAAAACTTTTCTGTGTCCTAAATGCAGATAGATAGATAGATAGATGATAGATAGATAGATAGATAGATAGATAGATAGATGATAGATAGATAGATAGATAGATAGATAGATAGATAGATAGATAGATAGATAGATAGATGATAGATAGATAGATAGATAGATAGATAGATAGATGATAGATAGATAGATAGATAGATAGATAGATAGATCAACTCTGAGTTAAGTTGTGTGACGTTACCTCGTCTTTCCTTCCTTCACATTGAACCAGGAGAAAATGTAGATGATGCCCACCACCATGTCGAACACAATCTCCTCCCATTTAGTAATGCAGAAGTCTGTCTCACAGTGGACAATCCAGAAGGTCATGATGCACCAGTGCAGGACGATGAAGATGCCGAAGTACAATTGGAACACAGAGGCAAAGAGGGCGAAGGTGATGACTCGAGCTGCTATCGTGAAGAAGTGCCAGCAGAACTGAATGATGACAGCAAGGTAGCTAACGGGCTTTTTGTCATCCCGAGAGTCACGCAGGGCCTTCTGGTAGGAGGCCAGAGCCCAGGCCAGAGAAACGAGGGACGCTGCTGCTGTCATACCTGCAACACACAAACCACAAACACAACAGGTTCAGTCTTAAAGGGGCATATCATGTAAAATCTACTTTTTTGAGCTTTATATTGTCTTATAATGTTTTACCCTCTCATCAAAACCACGCCAAGAGTCTTGCTTTGACTCATTCATGTATGTTTAAAAAATCCTGTAGTGTCTTGAGTGTAGTGATCTGTGTCTTGTCTGCTGTCTCCCTCTTGTGTTTTCTTTGTGTCATCACTCTCCATCTGTCCTCAGTCTGTTTCCTGTCATTTTCCTTGTTAACTACACTCATCTGTCAGTCGTCTGTAATCAGTCTTTCTTCAGCTGTTGTCCATTATCCTCCCTCCCTCGGCTTGTATGTATTCTCTCATCTGTTCATTACTTCACTGGATATGGCTTCTTTCATCTGTTTAGGTTTTTCCTTGCTGTTCTCCCACGTCTTTGAAATCCTTGTTGTTTCTTTGCTGCCACGACAGCATCTTGTTTTATTTTAATAAAACATTTTTATTAGAGCTCTTCGCCTCTGTCCGGACTTGGGTTCTTTCTCAGTAAATCTAACACTGATGCACAGGGCTGGACTGGGAGGAAAAAACAGCCCGGGCATTTTTTGGTCATGGCGGCTCATCAACATTATTTATACAATATACGAATACCAGAGGATGTGTTTGCATGTTGTGTTTCACAAGTTAAAGTGCAGCAGCCTACAAGGAAGAGAGTAACCATGTTAAAAACCTGATGATGCTCAGTCAGTGGATCAGAGAGCTGGACACAAACTGAAGAGAACAGATCAGACAACTGCTAAACTTAAAGTTTTCAGAGTCACAAAGTGGTCTCCTCACTGCAGTATAGAACCTGTTGAAAAACTTATGCAACAGATTTTCCCTCAAAATCCCCACAAAGTCATCGTGGGCTTCTTAAACTCGCCTTTTGTGTACTACAGCTGGATTTCGCCACCTGCAGGGTTGGGGTGGTTTTTCCTCTGATATTAAACATCCAAGTTAAATTTCCAGGTCTAAAAAAAACAAATTTTTATAAATAATAGTTAATGAAAACTGGTTCAAATGTGCCTGTCTTTATTTATGAAATGTTTTCCAACAGAAAAAAACAGAAATGTGTGTGGGTGGGGGGGCTGCCAAAGTGTGTAAAAAAAAACAAGTAGCAGTGGGTACAGTCAAATAATGTGTGCAGCCAAGGATAGTTTTACAAGAGGTGAACACACCTCACGACCCCTAACCTGGCTGTGCAAAACATGGCTGCATGGCTCGTGGGGTAGGCCTGTCACGATAACAAATTTTGCTGGGCGATTAATTGTCTCACAAATTATTGCGATAAGCGATAATATTGCTTGGTGACCGTTTTATAACTAATAATTATAAAAGTGTAATATGTAAGTGTAATAAATCAACAAACTTTCATTTTTAAAAGAATGTTTAACAAAGTGGACTCTCAGTCTCTAACAAAAAATGCACTTGAATAAAAAAAA